TCATATGTAATTTAGGGATGTATTGTACCAAATTTTAATGTAATAATTCCTCCTTCCATTCGGAAAAAGATATGTATTTGAGGGTTGTTGTAATAAAATTAAACATTTCCATGTTTCTCTTGAAAAAAGAGCTAACCAAAAACTGGCATCGCATATCCTGAACTTTTTGTAGCACCCAGAGGAGACTATCCTAAACCATGTACTCCCTCCATCTCAAATTGTAAGTCATTCTAACTTTCTTAGAGAGTCAAAGCATATCAAGTTTAACTAAGTTTATATAATAAAATAATAACATTGACTGTACCAAATAAGTATCATCGGATTCTTCATTAATTATATTTTTATAGTATACCTATTCGATGTTATAGATCTTTAAATTTTTCCTATAATTATGATCAAACTCGAAATGTTTTTACTTTGTAGCAAAGTTTAAATAATTTATAATTTAAAACGGATGGAACAGTACCTTTCTATTTAAAGCCTCGCCCGCCTTGCGTGTAGCGCCTTGGTGTGTTTTCCTCGGTGTACAAGGGTATATATACACTATACACTACACGTTTCCACTAAACATTTCCATGTGAGTACGTTGATACAATACATAAGCTACTGTGTCCTGTCCCAAACCGAACACCACAGGATTAAAAGCTGAGACCGGCCGGCGATCGAACGCAAAAGTAGAGGAGAAAAGTCGCGTCTCGCGTCCAAAAACTCTCAGGCAGTCAGACTAATGGGCATGGCAGGCAGCACTCCTACGTACTTTCAGAAGATTACACGCCTGCCTACTTGAATAATCCTTTTGTGTGCTGAAGAGTGAAGAAGAGCCATCCATCGCCCAATAGGCCAGTCCTTACAGCACGGCCGTCTGCCGTCCCCATGCCGTGCCACTTGCATGCTGTCGCTGCCATGCTTGGCAGGCAGATCCATATCCACATGGTCCCTGCCGGGAGCGGGGAAGGCTTGTTCAGCTCAACTGCTTGCACTCACGCCGCATCCACCTCACAGTCACACACACAGGATGACAGGAACACCCAACCGACACGGCACATGAATTCCCTCCGTCCCCTAACAACAGTTGCTCCGGACCGGGGCCTTGAGGCCTTGTAACAGTTTGACCTGCGTTCACTGCCGCCGCTCGATCGGTCCCGTGCCCACTCGCGCAGCAGGTCGCCGCGCACCACGCACACCCGGCCTCGTGTCGCGTAGCGTTCATCTCGTAGCCGTAGCCCGTAGTGCATCCATGCGTGCCTCGCATCGCCGGGATGGACCAGGGGAGTGTGTACGTGCATGTCACCAAAGGATCGTCCAAAGGCTGGCCTGTAAACGCTGCAGAATCCTCCCCCACGGCCCTGTTCTGTTTTTTCGGTGGTGCGTGCACTTTTACGCTTTGTGGTGGATACAGGAACTTTGTGAGGGTGGGGGTGTCTCTCTACTCTACCACACGCATCAGTCCCACACCCATACCGCATCAGTGCCGGGTCCTAAGATTCTAAGGAACATCTGACGATCTCATCGCAACGGCCTCTCTTAAACATGTATAAAATCTTATAATATATATGTACTAATTTTACTTACAAAACGAAAACAAATTCAATAATAGATTTTTAATTTAACATCTCTGATAATTATTGAGGAACAATGTAGATTAAAAAAGCAATATATTAGTTTTCTTTTCTCACCCATGACAAATCTTTCTTATGTAACATTCTAAAATTCTAACACATAAATTAGAAGAAAAATATGACTATACGGGTACAAAGTCCTAAAAGTCTAGAATACTATACAAAAAATTAATTTGGATTAAAAAGAAAAAATAAAAAAAATACCTTGGACCTAAACAACTGATCGGTGATCGCAATTCGTAAGAAGTCAAGAATCAAGATGTCGTCGTCGTGGAGCCCTGCCTGGTCGCTGTCCTTGTGCGCCTTGTCCGTGTCTCCAGTAGCCTAGCTCTTCGCGGCGACGCGGCTCGCCAGCTCCGCGTGTGTAAGGCGCACTTCGCGAACTCACGATCAGAGTGTGATGTGTGTAGCGTGACTCCTCGCCTCCTCTCTGCCCGAGGCCGTGGGAAAAAGAAATTAGGAAAGAAATACCGATGTTGTCTTTTTGGGCCACCTTGCCAGTTCTATGTCTCTCTTCTCATTAGTTTGCTAATGTCTAATGGACTATACTAATGGACTATAGGACCTGGGGGTTTGTATACCTGGACTTGGGCCCCTCCTCCGCTTGGGCCCTCGGCCGTCGCACCTCGTGGCCTACCCCTAGGCTCGGCACTGCCCATACCTGCCAGCCCGATCTTTCGAGCAACTTTGCCTCCGGTTCGGGCCAGTCGATCGGCTTTGCCGTTCGCCTGCTCGCTGCTCGGCCTTCATGTTTCTCCACCGGTCCGACGATGATTCCGAATTTCCGATGATGATGATGCCGCTCTGGCGCTCCCCGGTGTCTGGCATCGGCAATCATTATTGGCTTCGTCATCACTCCCCGGGGGGCGGGGCGGAGACGCCGAGTGCTCTGCTCGCCAACTATCGCAGCGGCAGGCAGGCGGGGCGGGTGAAAGCTAGCATTGACCCCGACCGCGCCATGGCCACGAGCTAAGGATGGCAGCGGATCGGGTTTGGGGCGGATATCCGCGGGTTTCGGGTTCGGGTTTGGGGATGGTTTTTCACCCACGGTTTTCGGGTTCGGGGCCCCGAAACCAATTGGGTTCGGTTTCGGGTTTGGTTTTCCACCCGTGGATATCCAATGGATATCCGAAATAAATCATTTGGAATTAAAACTCATGTTTTATAATATACTAATAATAATTTGTTTACTTAGATTATTAAATTTATTTAAAGTTGACTCATGAAAATATTTATTATTTGTTGCCTCTTATTTATACATGTGAATATGTGTATATATATCTGCGGGTTTCGGGTATCCATTCGGGTTTCGGGTATCCGTTCGGGTTTCGGGTATCCGCGGGTTTGGTTTTGGTGATGGATTTCCACCCGAATCGGTTTTCGGGGCGGATTCGGGTTTCGATTTCGGGTTTCGGTTTTGCGTGCACGGAGACTCCACCCGATCCGAACCCGACCCGTTGCCATCCTTACCACGAGCACTGCTGCTGTGTCGTCGATCAGTCAGGCGCACTACTATACGAATGATTTCTAGGGGCGGCTGGTGAGGCTTTGTAGAGGCGGCTCGGCCAACCGCCCCTACCATACCGTCTCTACAAATCATGCATTTGTAGGGACAGTTCCCAGACCGTCCTTACAAATCGATTTGTAGAGGCGGCTGGTGTAATCAGCCGCCCCGATTTGTAGAGGCTGCTGTAGTACCAGCCGTCTCTATAATACCTGTTTGTAGGGGCGGTTCAGTCTAGAACCGCCCCTACAGTACTTTTTCGCTAAAAAATTCAAATTCGATCAGAACATATATATATATATATATGTATATATATAATTCAAATCTGACCACAAGCACAAGAGCATTATATAAACTACCATTACAAGTCCAATTCACAAGAATTCGTCACCTTTTTTCATGGGACAAAGCAAAATCTTGCAAACGAGGAAAGGTAGGATACAAAATTACAGGTGCACAAATTTAAAGTATAATTCATATTTTTCATTAGATGAAATGTACAACATAATCCATGTCTTAACTAAAGCAAATTAAATACTCAATGATCAAATAGCAAATGTTATGGAATATAAGACATGAATGGTGGAGCAAAAGTAAGTCCGGTGATGTTTCGAGTTCTATAGAACTTGTGCTGTTATAGGTAACACACAAAGATTTTTAGATAAATAAATGCAGGACACACAGAAGCATTAGAGCACTTGGAAATGAGTAATCATGCAAGGAAATATAGTTGTTGTGCTTAAAATGGAATGGACACTAATTTTTAAATATTGGAGTCGCTGGCAATTGTTCAAATCAAATTACGAAACAGAGAACATTCTACGAATAATGTAGGTTCTGTAGAAGGGAAAAGTACTTCTCTCCAATGCAAAATATCAAACATGTGATAACATAGAAAATACTTGAAGATCACACTAGGTAGATTGCCAGAACTTAAAAAAATCCATCTTTGCAAAAATGTAAGAATTCATATTAAAAAGAATAAATGGGATCTGGAACAACTGGACCCACCATTCAAACAAGGCTAATGTTTGCTTTAGCCGTTGAGGTTCCATATAGCTTCAATCCAGCAAATGGCCCTGCACATTAATTTAAAATAATCAAAATTTATTATGAATGTTAACTTTAAGTGGCAGACATACATTGAATCGTTATAATAGAATAACAAAGCAACAAATAAACTTGAAAGGGAAAAAACCAACGGCCTGACAAAGGCAACAAAACACATACATTGACATCACCAACCACTACTACTGGTCATTGATTGCTGACCACCCACCACTCAATTATAACTGCCATAAACTCAACTGAAATTAAATGCGAAGAAGGCAACTTATAGGCTGCCTCAAATAATTTTGTGAGCTAAAGTATGTAATTCCTTCAAATTACAATTATCAGCCACACAAGAGCGAATACAAACTTGTAACAGAATCATTAAAGCACATCAGATAAATAAATATGTATATATTTCTGTTAGGTTAGCCATATCTTTGCCTCTATATTCAAGTTGCATATGAAAGTGACTCTAAAATTTCACACCATGAATACGCCAAGCCTATTCAGTGTGTTCTTTAGACAGGTGACATGATGAGTCTATGAACAGAGCAATAGAGATATAAGTTTGGGACTAAACCTAACATTACCTAAAGATGTTTTATAGCAGAAATTATAAAAATGGCAAGAGAAGACTATGACACGCATCCGTGAAACTGACTATAGAATGGAGTTGAATAACAACACATACTAACACAACTCTAGAAGCAACGATGGATGAAGGCCATAGATGCAAACCTGGATCGCTCCCATCGGAATAACCTACACGGAATTGAGGGAGCGCTCTAGTACGGCGTAGCTTCTTCTAGCAATGGATAGGATCATTAAGCAACCTCCCTGGTGGGTGAGTGAGTCAGGTCTAATGGCACAATTCCTGCCAGCATCCATTGTAACAACGTGAGGTCATCATTGCCGGCCTGTGGCCACCACAAGAAAACAATATCACCAAAGCTGAGGTTTCTAATAATGGACCAAGGGGGAAAACGGTTCAGATGAAGGCCATGATATACCTGATGGACTGGAGTTGCATAACTCTCTTCTGATGCACAATTTGCTAGGTACTCAGCACGGTATTCGTGGAAGTAATTATCCATCTGAGCATAGGTACTATGAGTGCTCATAACACCTTTTATTCCTGCATTTGCAACGACTGTACTGTCAGCGCTGAAAGTTTACAGATGGATAGTGAGAAACTTTCGAGAGAGTGCCTATGTATGTCTCTTCAAAGAGATTGGAACTATTACAAGACAGTGGGACCATGAGCACTGCTACCAATTTGGAAACATGATAAATTGAAGGTTCTAGGAACTGGGTTATCGCTTATGGTATAAATTAACCAAGCAAATATAAATTGAGGGATCCAGGACTGCTAAACTCTAAACCCTCAATTTATTTGGTGCCTTTTTATTCTGGCACAACGATTCACTAAATTCCTCTCTACTAAATAAAATGTAAATTTAGGAATTAAATGTCCCATGAACATTATGCATACTACAACTCAGTACACGAAGGAAGTCCAAGGGCCCAAAATGATTACCTTGATGGGATAAGCTTTCTTGCTTTCAATGAAAGAGGTCACCATGGCAGGCTGCTCCTAAATTTCTTGAAAAGCCTATAACTGCAACCACTAAGGCACTAAGAAGCAGTTGTGGTATTAATATATAGTTGAAAATTAAGCAAAGACAAAGTAGCATGAGATACAAGAAAGAAATGGTACCAACTCTAAGTTGTTGGTTAGCAAACCATGCTAGTGGAGAGGGCAGTGAGGACTAATAGGCCGCGCAAAGCCACGTTCGTGATTGCAGTCAACTCATCGTAGGCCTTGGATGAGCTGCAAAGAAATATAAAAATATCTAGATAAGACTTTTGGAAACTTTGGAATCCCTACATCCAGGCCACGAATCAGTGTAGGAGGACTTATTTATGCGTTCAAATCTAAATCTCATCCAATTCATGGTAGTACCAGAAAGAGTAAAACAAAACATAATATCAGGCATGGACAATGTAAGTAGGCATTGATAGTTCTATATTGGGTCTATATGCAGAACATAATTATTTACTTCACATCCATGAGGACCAACTAATACCGGGAAAACTGAGAACACATGGGAAAAAGCGAAGCTGACACAGATGTCCTGAACTTCTTGTAAGATGGAATGAAAGGATGTCACCTGACCCTATGATTGAAACAAGGGCAGGCCCAATATTTTTCTTTCTGATTGCTGTGCAAACTAATCTACCAGAAATGAATGCCTTTTAGGCCTCTCTACAGCAACTCTAAATTAATTAATGTCCATGCTCAACAAAGATGCTTGAACAATCTGATATGAATGACATACCAAATGAATATCTAGCATATTGCTTTAGAAAAATTGTATCCAAGCTCAGTCATCTCCAACTGGTATAAAGGGTCACGATATAGTAGCTGTGGCAAAGACAGGTTGTTCATCTAAAACACTGGCCTATCTCCTCCCAGGGTTTATTCTTGTGGAGTGCTTGAAGCATAATTTAAGTGAAGGTCCAACAATATTAGTTTTGTGTCCAACCAGGGAATTGGCAACATAAATTCAAGATGAAGCAATCAAGTTTGGCAGATCTTGAAGAATATCTTCTACTGCGTGTTGCTCTGTATTTTCTAATATAGGAAACATGCCCGCTCATATACGTGAAGAACATTAGAATTGCGTACACAACTATTGAAAGGGAATAAAAAATTAAATAAAACCCAGATCACCTTGGTCCAATAGTGGTTACAAAAGAGAAACATGAAAATCACCGGATCGCATCTGAAAGAAAAAGAAGGGTGCATTAATATAGTTCAATTTCAAGGATAGATTACTCCAAAGATTTTACAAATAAAATTAAGACTTTTTCTAGACAATAGAAGCATGACAGTAATCGATAACTAAAGAGAATCCCCAACTAAAATTAGTTGCAAGCTGGTAGCATGGAAAAGGTATCCCTTTCATTAACTCTACGATATTAGCAAGGCAAAACTGATATCAAAACAAGTTTGTTGGTCGAAGCTGCAGCACAAAATTTAGGACAAAATAAACATCCTCATAATTTCCAACATTTGAGTGGTCTGCAACTTGGCTAAATCGGATTGAACAAACATTGAGCGTGTTTGTTATCTCTTTGCTTGCGACAAGAAAGAAGGACAAAGGGGCAGCAGAACCAAACCTCAGATAAACTCATCGTGGTGGCCTGACCCTCGTTCCAATAGTCATCTCCATCAACAAATCGCCCGTCCCCGGCGTCGGCGAGGGAAGGGGAGAGGAACAAAGGAGGCAACACACCCTCACCTAGGGCTGGTCACGACTGAGGCCTATCGTACCGGGACGGCTGCATCCGTGCTGTCGCGCTAGGGCTTGCTCGTGTCGGGAGGGGCGGAGCAGCAGTGATGGCACTGGGGCCACGCCGCCGGGGCGACCAGCGTCGCATGCGCCGGGACGGCCGTGCTGCTGGGGCCGGTCGTCGTCCGTGCCGCCGCGCTAGGGCTTGGTTGGTTCGGGAGGGGCGGAGCAGCAGCTGTGGCACTGGGGTCGCTTCGCCGGGTTGCTGACGTCGCACGCGCCCCGTTGTTACGAACTGTTTTTCACGTAGCAGCGACCAGAGCGCGCGCACGCAGGCGGGCAGGGGCAGCAACCTGACACCACTACGGTTCCATCCACGAACGCCAACGGGGAATCGGGAACGGCATGCATGGCTTTCCTTGCTGGCACGGAACGGAAGCCCACAACTGCGCTGCGCTGCACCGCTTTCGCTTTCGCCCTGACACACACACACACTGATCGCTGCTGGTGCCCAACTCAGGCTGCAGCCAACCGGAGCCCTGCCCACTGCCCAGCCTGATGTGTCCGTGCACAACGGCAGGCCGGCACGTTGCCGTCTCTCTGCTCATCACCGTGGATGCCCATGACCCATCAAAACACCTCCCAAGTGGCCAAGTACTGTCCTATGAGTCTACGACTACGAGGGAGTAGTGCACGGGAGAAGGAGATCGAGATTGGTCGACTTTTTGACCCGCGTCGCAACTTGCACACAAGTCCAGCGCCCGGTGGCCTGCCCGGTGATCATCACGTCCACATAACCATGTCTCGTTCTGTGATTCTGACCAACTCGCACCCTGCTCCTGCCTGGGCTATCTTTGCCGTTCCGGATCGGATCCGCATGCCTTCATCACATTTGCTATGCTCGTACGATTTTGCCCTCGTCCTTCCCGTCCATCCCCACGAAAAAATGGACTGGTACCAGCTCATCCGCGCGATGATGCTGCCTGCCTGATGCCTGCTTGCCTGCCTCCGCTCCCCTGTGACAACGGCAAGGCAGTCATGCCTGGCTCGGCTCATCACCTCCGTCACCGGCGCGGCTCGCCACTGCGCCCACGGCATGCATGCATGTGGGCGCGATCAGGGAGCCAATAGCCAGAAAGCACTGAGCCTTCGTCAGGCACTCAGGCGCGCCACTACTATCGCATCAGTGCATCTGCGTCGTCGTCCGTCAGACGATCAGGAACTCTGAACACGCGCGTACCCACAACTCCACAAGACGGGGACGGGTGCAGAACTGCAGGCAGAGGAACACCAAGGGCATGGGCAATTGGGCATAGGGCATGCAATGCATCATGCATGGCATGGCTTTTTCTGGCGCGGAAGCCCTCGTCTGCCCCTGTACGAACGGGTGACAGCAACGGTTGACGTCCATCAGGGCATCAGTGCCGACTGCAGAAGTGCAGAACCAAAGGGGGGCCCTGAACCTGGCCTCGCTGTTCCTGGATTGCCCCAATCAAAACACCGGAGTAATGACATACTAGGAGTAGTAGTATTGTATATATACTACCCCCTCTCTATAGATGTATTAAAAAAATGTAAGTTTTAGATTTAGATTAAGTTAAACTTTCTTTATTTTAACTAAATTTATTATATATTTATTTGTAGCATTTTATGATTAATCAAATAATATTTATTTGATATTATAGTGCTAATATTATTTTGTATAGTTAATTAAACTTAAATGATTTTATTTATGGAGCTAGTCATAAGTCATAACAGGAGCAATTACGGCGCTGCTGACAACTCGCTTTAATTTGCATATGTTTCGCACTCCAATCATGAATCACCGAAACGATTAAGGTTGATTCATGTGGTAGTACAAAAATGAACCAGGAAATCAGGAATAGTATGAACGATCAAAACCTCTCATGCCTCCGATGGAGCTTTGGTTTGGTTGGTCTCCCGTGGAGCAAGCAGGTAACCCTACCGCCATTATTTCGACGCAACAACAGTACACCAGCTTCACATTTGGCTGTGAAGGATGAAAACGATACGGAAATATTCCGAACCGATCACTTTCGTTTTCTATATTATGATACCGTTTTCTATATTATGATACAATTTTTGAATTTCGCCAAACATAAAAATTTGTCATTTTCAATTGGTTTCACAACCATTTTCAACTATTTTTTATACTCTTTAATTGCTAAAATGTAGAAATATCCTAAACCAATTGTTTTCGTTTTCTATATTGTAATACCGTTTCGGACCGTTTCCATAGCCTTTGGGTCGTGGCTGGTCAGAGGTACCATGGTCCATGGATGGCATCAGACCAAACACCCAACCTGCCCTTTCACTGTTTACCGCACAGCCGTTTACCACAGGTACAACTTTCCACCACTTCCAGCTTCCTGCCAAAACATTTCGCTTTTTCCTGCTCCATGTCTTCTCCATCCACGCACTAATAAAACAGCTTGACACTCGATTCATGGTCATGGGGATTGCCGGATTCATAAGGAGCTCTTGAACTGCCCATCAGTCCTGGAGAGCCCAAACTAGTACTACACACCAACACTGCCTTGGATCCCTGCATTAACGCTGAGCTGAAGCATTTTGAACACACCAACTCCGAAGAGTCCTCCCATGTGCCGCACTGATCTCGCCATTTGCACCCCTCTCAAAGGGAAGTATTACTTTTTTTCAGATTCTGAGGTAGCAGCAAGTAGTGTAGTGCTGCTGCTGCTGCCCAGGGAGAAGGCCGTGGTCCAAGCTAGCTGTGTTTTGGACAGAGCAATATAGCAGGCACCGATAAAAGTGAGGCTGAAGCCCGCCATCCCGGTGAAGTGAGGGCGAAGGAAGCGTTGTTGCCCTTGTTGTCCACCCCGGCGGCAGGGACGACACGACGAGCGCGGCTTGGATTCGCGCGCTCACGTGGTGGTACCGTGGTAGGGGGCTTGCCGGCTTGGCGGGCCTCGTTTAGATCGTAAATTTTTGTAATTTGGACATTGTAGTATGTTTTGTTTGTATTTGACAAACTTTGTTCGATTATAGACTAACTAGGCTCAAAAAATCCGTCTCGTGATTTACAACCAAATTGTGTAATTAGTTATTTTTTTACCTATATTTAATGCTCCATACATATATCTAAAAATTAATGTGATAGAGAGAGTGAAAAAACTTAGAATTTTGAGGCAATATAAACAAGGCCTCAATGAGGTGGCCAACCTAGCCAAAACTAGGGCCTACACTGCTGTGGAGAAACAGCGACAGTGCACGCAGAAATCGCAGGAGGGGCCATTGTTCAGATCAAATGATTCCCTTTTTTCTCTCTTTATTTCCCTTACTACTTTTTCTTTGCAAAGAATTCTTTTTCGGTTGCCTTTTGTCATCTGCTTTGTGTGTGTGTGCGTGTGTTTTTTTTAAAAAAACAACGATTCAACAAAGTTTTTTTTTCAGAAGATCATTAGCCATTGCTGCACTTGAATGAACGCGTGGTGACAAGAGAAGGGTGTTTATTTCGCAATTTGTCATGCTGAACAAATTCCTGAACCTGATAGTCACTCGTGATCACCTAACAATAGGATATGGACAGACCTATGTACGAACTAGTTGCATCATCTCAGTAGGCTAGTGCACTAGTAGTACAGTAGTACTTGACGAGGTGATCAGGTTCGTTCGCTTTGAACAATGCTCCACTCGCTTTCACTTGGCTGACAAAGTTTACTCTCTATCCTATCAAATGTCGAACACATGTATAAATATTAAATATAGACTTAAAAAATAACTAATTATACAGTTTACGACTAATTTACGAGATGAATCTTTTAAGCCTAATTATTTTATGATTTGACAACGTGGAGCTACAGTAATATATGTATTAATAATGGATTAATTAGGCTTAATAAATTCGTTTCGTGGATTACTGACGGATTCTGTAATTTATTTTTTTTATTAGTATCCGATCAGAAGGGCAGGCCTGGTGCGTGGTGAGAGTTGTTTCACTGAGTCACCAGGTCGCGTGTTCGAAGCAGCCTCTCCACAAATTTTGTGGGGGAGGCTTGCCTCGGTTTTTCCCTTCTCCAAACCCCATGTGGGAGCCTCCGGCACTAGGTCTACCCTTTATTAGTATCCAAACACCGCATATTAAAAAAAAAAAAAAACCCCACCCCACCACCACCACCAACGTTACCCTCTGAATTTAACAAGATCTTAATACGGGCGGAAGCATCTGCTAACTGCTGATCTGCAGCTGCTGTTGACGTTACGCAGAGGGCAAAGCATCTGCTTACCGAGCCGTTTCTTTCATGCACTCCTTTGAAATTCTGGGCCAGGCGTCTGCTTTGAAGAGATACAGATCAACTTCTTTTGTGCAACAACAAAAGACGATAAAAAAAAGTGAGAGAAAGCAACAATCAGATGCTCCGGTAGGGTATCTATCAATTCATCTTGCAAACAGGCTTTTTTCTTTGGGACCAATGTAGCTTAAGATCTGACTTCAAGGCCTTTAGTTATGGCCCACTTCCAGTGTTTACACATAAGCAGAAAGCACTTAAAAGATCTTGGTTCCACAACAAAGATTCTGGCGCTAAATTGGACAGAGAGTGCACTTGATACTTTAGTGCCTACTACAATATTGGAGAAGGGAAATCAAAGGCTCTAGCAATGTAACTCAACTCGCTACAGACTCCTACTACATTGCAGCAGCAAATGAAACATGGCAAACTGGAAACAACCAACCAACAAACTTGAATATGTACAAGCACAGGAGGCCAAACTTACTGCATCCTAAATTACGACCTAAGCTTGCGAGATCGAAGTGCAGATTTTGCAAGGAATGGTAACATTTTCACACTCAGATGCTGATGAGATCTGGAGGTGGCGATGACGGGGAGCTTGTTTGCTGCTGCTGCTGCTGCTGACCTCTTGCTTCAACGGTTGGTGCTTCATTGGTCCCAACTGGTGCTGGATGTAGAGGACTGGATGCAGAGCCGTCACCGGAATTTGGAACCTCCTCTCCTTGCTTGGTAGATGGCTTTGGTAACTCACTTAGGATCTGCACAACCTCCCTCATCGTCGGGCGCTGCACGCTTTGCTCCTCAGTGCAGAGCAATGCAAGATAGAAGACATGCATCACCTCGTGCAGCGGCACAGTTGAGAGCCTTGGGTCCAGGATCTTCATCACTTGTTCTTTGCTTGAGTCTGTCATCATCTTTGCCCATTGGACAATGTCAACACCATCGCCAAACTCACCTACAGGCTTCCTTCCAGTGACAAGCTCAAGAAGCACAACGCCAAAGCTATAGACATCGCTCTTCTCATCGACCTTCAGTGTGTATGCATATTCTGGATAGCCACGGATGGCAACCAAGAGCAAGGTCATTGGAAAATAGAATTTAGAAGCCAATAGTCAGACATTTTGTAAACCAAAAGCAATGACGAAAATGTAAAGAGAAATACAACAGAAGATACGCATAAAAAAACCATTGAACATTACGATCATGAAGGTGTAAACAAACATCATAAAGTTTCAACAGAAGATACAACAATGAAGTAGCTGATCTTCAGTAAATGTTACTCGTAAAGAGAACTAGTAGAGATAATATTATAACAGAAACCATGTAGATAAGTACCAATACTCATCAAACAGTATAACAATGAAGTTTTATAGCTTGAGAGACATAGTTTTATAGCTCGAACAATGTAATAACTATAAGTATTCTAAACTTATAATGCATCTCGATATATTCAGATGAGTACTCTATTCATATTGAACTAGATCAGGAAGGGTTGATTTTTACCTGGCGCTATGTAGCCATATGATCCAGCGATGGCGGACATACATTCAGATGCCCCTGAGTCCTGCAAAAATTTTGCTAGCCCAAAGTCAGCCACATGAGCTTCAAAGTTGGAGTCAAGAAGTATGTTATTTGACTTGACATCCCGGTGAAGTATCAAAGGTGAACAGTCATGGTGCAAGTAGCAAAGCCCCTTGGCTGCCTCAATAGCAATGCTGTATCGGGTATCCCAGTGCAAGTGCCCTCCTTTCTTGCCATGGAGCATCTCCCCAAGGCTCCCATTGGGCATATACTCATAAACCAGCAGGTTGGTCTCATTGTTTGAGCAGAAGCCTAGCAGGCGCACAATATGACGGTGTCGAATTCTACCAAGTGTTTGTATCTCCGCCGAGAACCCATGATCATGTGATGAGCCACGGCCTATTGCTGGGAGTCTCTTCACAGCCACAAGTTCACCATTCGGCATTGCCCCCTTATACACAATCCCAGCACCACCTTTGCCAATAATGTTCTCCTCTTTCAAGCAATCCAGCACATCATCACTGGTGAAGTCCAGGCGCTGGAATGCAGTAAGTTTCCATACTCGCGCTTCACTAGCTTTTTTCAATGACCGAGCCTTCAGAATCGCCGCAGCAGCAAATGCAATGGAGCAAATCAACAAACCGAGGACAATGAGCAGCTTGACCGTATTGGTCAGCCCACCATGGCCATGGGCAGTGTGGTCGGCGCCAGCGATACCTGCACTGCATGGACCGAGGTATGGTCCACACAGGCCTGGGTTGCCAACGAAAGACGTGGCATTGAAGTAGCTGAACTGGCCAGTCCTTGGCACAAGCCCAGACAAGTTGTTATACGAGAAGTCGACCGCCGTCAAGCTCTGCATCGTTGCAATGGATGGAGGTATCTCTCCATCAAGGTGGTTCCTGGACAGGTTGAGGTAGTTCAGTATTCGCATTCCAGAGATGGCCGGAGGTATCTTCCCAGAGAGGTTGTTTTGGCTCATGTCCAAGTAAGTGAGAAGCCGGCATTTCCCAATCTCCGGTGGCACAGCTCCCTCAAACTTGTTGCTGCTAAGGTCAGCCTTGGAGAGCTGCTGCAGCCGCCCAATCTCCGGAGGTATGGCACCAGAGAACGCGTTCTGATCAAGCAGCAGCTTCTGAACACCAGAGAAGTTCCCAAGAGATGCAGGCAATGCTCCCGTAAGCTGGTTGTTGGACAGGCTGATCTCGCCAAGGTTAGGAGCCGCGGCACCGATCACAGCCGGGAAATTACCAGTGAGGAGGTTATCTTGCAACTCAACTTGAGTCAGCTTCGGCAATTCGAATAGCCCCTTTGGAATTGAGCCATTCAGGTAGTTCTCCCCGAGACGGACACGGCTCAAGGACTTGCACTGGCCGAGTGAGTCTGGGATGGCACCGAACAAGAAGTTGCCGAGCGCGATGAGGGTCTGCAGCTTGCCCCCCGCGCAGAGCTCCGGCGGCAGCGTGCCGGTGAGCTTGTTCGACGAGAGGTCGAGCAGCTGGAGGCGGCCGTTGCGGCCGAGGCTGCGTGGCACACCGCCGGTGAAGTTGTTCTCCCACAGCTGCAGCACCTCGAGGCTGGGCAGGTCGCCGACGAAGTCGGGGATGTCGCCGCGCAGCTTGTTCCGGAACAGGTTGAGCAGCGTCAGGTTCTTGAGCTCGGAGAAACTCGCCGGTATCTCACCGGTGAGCGCATTGTTCGACAGGTCCAAAGAACTGAGGCTCTTGAGGTAGCCCAGCTCCGACGGTATGCTGCCGGTGAGGCCGTTCACCTGCAAGAAGAGCGTATCCAGATTCTGCAGCCTCCCGAGCTCGGGCGGGATTTCGCCGGAGAGCCCACAGTTGGCGACGTCGAGGCGGACGAGCTCGGTCAGGTTCCCCAGCTCCGGCGGAAGACCACCGGTGTAACTGTTGTAGTAGCCAATGTAGAGCTCCCTGAGGCTGGTGAGGTTCCCCAGCTCGGGCGGTATCTTGCCGGAGAGCTCGTTCCCGGAGACCGCAAGGTACTGCAGCCTGGGCCACCGGCCGTACTCCGGCGGTATCTCCCCAGAGAAGAAGTTGCCGCCGAGGTGCAGGTGGCGGAGCATGGGCATGTGCGTGACCTCGAGCGGCAGCGTAGCGCTGGTGAGGTTGTTGTTGTAGAGGTCGAGCACCCGGAGCGCGCGGAGCCGCGCGAGCGCGGGCGGGAAGGAGCCGTTGAAGGCGTTGTTGGAGAGGTTGAGGTGGACGAGGAGCTGCAGGCGCGCGAGCGACGGCGGGATGGGCCCGTAGAACCCGTTGGCGGCGACAGAGAGGCGCTGCAGGCCGCGGAGCCGCGACAGCGCCGGCGGGAGCGCGCCGGACAGGTTGAGCCCGGAGACGTCGAGCCCGACGACGACGCCCCCGCTCCCGCCGCCTGAGCCGCGGGGCGCGCAGGTGACCCCCGCCCACGCGCAGTGGTCGGAGGAGGCGGCGTCCCAGGACGCGAGCGCGCCGGTGGGATCGGAGAGCGCCGCCTTCGCGGCGAGCAGCGCGTCCGCGTCCGTGTCCGTGCCGCCGCCCGCCGCGCCGGCCGCGACCGCGACCGCGGCGAGGGCCAGGAGCAGCAGCAGCGGGAGGAGGTGCATTGGGCTTCTCTTTTCTCGGACGCGGCGGCGGCGGAGTGGAGGGGGAGAAGAGAGGGCGAGAGACGGCTCGCGCTCACACTCTCGGCGAGGAGAGTGCGGACAAGAGCGTGGCGTGGCGAGTGGTGAGGGGTGTGCTTGCTGTGGGTTTGAACGCTCACTAAATTATAGGATATATCAATCAATCTAAATGGACTTTTTTTTTTCGGTTCTTTTGGGGGGTGGTGTGTGGGTTTCCTTCTGGGGGATTGGGCTGCTTTTATAACGTGATCTCGGGGTCTCTCCGTATCGAACGGATGGATCGACATGGGCAGTTTTGACTTTTGGCTAACGATTAATCCATTGCAGTACTCATGGAGTGCTAGTAGTACTTAGTGTACTCCTACTCCTAGTAAACTTTTTTCTCGACTATCCGTTTCCGTATTTAGAAAAGATACAAAAATGAGACGAGGGGTATTTCCCCGGTGTTGTAGGATCATTTTTAGTCAAAATAGACCTATATTCATCTTGTATTTATAAATTCGAGATAAGTTTTAGCATCTGTTATGGAAACTAGGTATTTATAGAATAATTAAAAACATGGCTCCGTTCGCTTGTCTTAAATTTGGCTTATTCGGCTTGTTTTTTCAGCCGGAACAGTGTTTTTCTCTCACAATAATTCAGCCGGAACAGTATTTTTCAGCCAAAGTTCAGACCAGCGAACGGGGCCATAAGATCATCCTGAGGAGCACCAAGAAACTCACCAGACACTTTTAACTTTTAACACATAGAGTTGGTACACTATAAGCTATGTCATGACTCATGATGTTAGCTTAGATCTTTTGGTTTCGTGGCAGAACCGTCTGAAATAACACATATTCGAAGACGTTCGTCTTTCACCAGACACTAAGCACCCCGAAAGCAAGCTATATCGGACAGATTTCGTCGAGCACACCCCAAAAGAGAACTCGAATAATCCACATTTTTCCTCCAGAATCCAATAATGAGAACAAGTTTACATTATTTAGTCCATTTCATACAACCATAGTTCTTAGAAATACATTATTACAGTATCAAGTTCAGAGTACGGAAATTAAACAGCGGAATTAAAATAAACATCTATCGATAATATACAAGGATTCGTTTGTGCTCACCAGAAGAATTCTTCACACAACAGTTACTCCTCAAGCTGCATCTGCAACAGGGATAAATAAACCCCGAGTACACAATGTACTCGCAAGACTTATACGACCAGTGGGAATAATTTCTCGACTCCAAGGGATATGATAAGCTTTATGGTTTGTAGGGTTTTTTTTGCGGAAAGCAATACTAATAGTGAATCCTTATGTATGTTTATTATTAGTAGTCATGATTAGTTCATTAGCTAACCACTCTATATAAGCACTTGTTCTACTTTCAAGCAAGAGTTGAGCACACGTTTTCATTTTACCACCTTTCATCTTCTAGTTCTTACTACGGTGCTAGACTGTATACAAGCCGTACCGGATTGCCCGGCGATTCACGAATCAATGTGTCCAGCTAGATATCCCGAAACACACACCCCGCTTGTACCCCAGGCACAAGTAGGACCAACCCACCACTCTCCTTTCAAGGGGTCTAAGTCTCCGTCCAAACTTGGACTCCAAGCCCCCACACATGAGTTCCGGACTTAGTGTGGTGCTTAGACCTCCACCATCTCCGCCTCCAATCAGTCGGACCGAAAAGAGCCAGAACCCACGACAAGAGAGCAACAAGCATTCCTTGTTCCCATAAACAAGTATGTGTTCGGGATAATAAGTCTGTGACTTGCCTAGAACCCAATACAACGGTCGGTCCTTAACCGACACAAACAGAGAAACAGTGTAATCAAGCTATGCCCCGTTGGCCGCAGGACACAACCTCTTACACCCACCAATACCAAAACCATATCCCTACCCGATCTCCAATTTTCCTTTCACCATTTTATTATGAGAGTGATAATAATAATCACATAATGTAAGTAACGGCATGTTACTCACGCTACCAAAAATTCTAAGCATAGCAGCTACTCGACCTATGCTAGTAAGATTCACAGGTAGGTATATCTATGCATGTAGTTTCCATAAAATGCCTGTAACGTAAATGCACATTATATATATATATATCCAATGATTGTTTAAAATAAGGGTTATGTATCGGGGTTTGCCTTAGGCAGGCGGGGTGTCAGCAAAGTCAACAACTGATGGCTCTGAGGCGCCTTCCTGGATGAGGATCTCCTCATCGTATTTCTCGATTATCTCCTCGTACTCCTGCTCGCCCGCAGTCACGAACTCTACCAACTCGTTATCTACATGCATGAAATGATGATGCAACACTTAGTAATACAGCAATAGCAACTCTTAAAATAAGAATACATCTACCAAGCTACTAAGCTAGCTCTAATGACTAAGACGCTAAGTTACCTATTATTCCCACTAAACAGGTATGAAACATTTCACGTATTATCTTAGCAACTAAAGGCATCCTTATTCCTATTACCGATTTAATATATATACTACCACAAGGTGTACTTAGACACCATCTTTCTCAACCTATGCTAAGGCTACAAAAATTACCGTGAGCACATAATAATCTAATGATCCTACTGTAAAAATTTCATGTCTAAAACTATTACCAATTTGCCACAAAAATTCATATAATTATTAATCTAAATAACATTAACACTTCCAAATGATTTAATAGACCTTAGCATCAACACACACACACACACACACACATATATATATTAACCTGTAACAGAACCGACCAATTATACGAAATTAAGTAAGAGAATCATCCACCAGAGCAGACGATTGAACAAACTTAAGCCCGTATAACCCGGTAGTCCGTGAAATCACAACGGATTTCAAACCAACTCGTGTCCCAGCCATGATCGTAATAAGTTTAGCGGTCACCATCACATATTACATAAAAGTTCGCAATCTCAGATACATCAGAGTTTAAACATAGTTATTACAAACCAGTTCGAATAAAAGTAGCGGAAGTCATTTGTTCAAACCACACACACACTCACGCGGAGTTTAAATATAGTGCCAGCGAATGATCATCTCCAACAAAATAATTAGATGAGACGTAAGGAATGACCATGCCCATGGTCCTAAGCATCACCCATCGCAGGATAAAGGCAGTTGATACAGTAGCCGTAATACATCTGCCCATCTGCAACAAGTGGGAATAAAACCCTGAGTACGAGAAGGTACTCAGCCAGACTTACCCGACATAACCGAAAATAAGTGACACCAAGGATTATGAAGGGCTTTATAGTAGGGTAGCTGACTCATTTGCAAAAAGAAGCATTTTTAGCATTTCAAGAACCTTTCTAAAAGCATTATTGCCAAGTTAATTATTATTAACCTGTCAACTAGATTTGCACCTATACTAGAGTAAACATGTGATTAAGCAGATAATGATAACCAATGATCATTAAACAACTTCCATACTGTCATATTCACTATAACTGTTCAAGTGTTCCATAACATTTACTACGATGAAGTAACTCAAGTCAAGTGTTCACTATCCAGAGCGATGGCGATTGAATCGATTCCTAACTAGTGGTGATTTATTCCTTACACAAATCTCACTCACCCGCTAAAGTGAGATATTGATCACCGAGTCAACTTTCCGTGTATCTCGAGTTTGCCAGAACCACATGTACCGGGGCCGACCGACCGCACTTTGGTCTTATCATCCCGCCCGTGTCCTACCACACCTGCTGCAGACAAAGGCTAAGGTCATGGGCAATCTACTCGGCCCGAAAAATCTCCCGGCTTCAGCGGTCGGAAGGTACTTTATCCGCCGACTAAATGTAAGGCATGCGTTCAACATGACTCGAGGCCCAACAACGGTCGGTTCTTAATCGACATACGCACGGAAACACTACGGTCCAAAACCACGCAAGTCTCCGCTTCGGTCTCAACTTCATTTAACACTTAGTTATACCATGACTTCATAGCCATCCAAACAGATCCGTGTAACCACCTATAGCTCGCAGTGACAGAAATCACCCGACTTCTACCGATCTAAGCCCACTAAGCATTGACTCGATGCGGATACCGTGGTAGCAAGGATATAGTATAACAAAGGTAAACAAGGTATAATACAAGAACGGTTGCAAACAACTCCTGAACGTAATGCATTAATTTAAAGTAAAGCATTTAATGAAATCATTGCAAACCGAGAAAGATGCTCGGGGCTTGCCTCTCTCGAAGGAGCTCGGGACGGTGATCGGGGCACTCAGGAAGCTCCTCAACGCCCTCCTCGCTCGGCTTCTAGCACTTTCTGGCACGCACCTCGAGCTGCTCCTCGGGCTCCTCGGGAATGACGACTGGGTTCTCTGTTTGCGATCCTGTATGATGCAATGCGTGTAAGTGCCTATGCAATCGGTGCATCGAAGGAGATGAATGCAATGGATATGTTGAAAAACAAGGTAGCCACATCATCCAAGAAAATATACTACAAGCACATGTCATCTACTGCATTCTCTTCTACTACTAATAGGTTAAGTCCACACATCTTATTAAATGCTTCAAAGATACACCAAAGCTTTACTAATTTCTTAATCACACTTAAAGCAACACTTGCTTAAACCCTAATTAATAATAGGTTTGAATAGCAACATATATTTCTGATGCTTCTAAAAATCTGAGAAAATTACAGTAGCATAATACTACCCTAAACAGACTACCATAAAAATTTCATGGCATTCGGATAAGTAAACTATCCTACACAAAAATGACAAGCTATAGCATAAAAATGAGCATGAAATTACTTTGTACTATGAAAAGTGTCAAACAACAGATTGAGTATTTTTCCTATGTTCTTTATAGTATATAATCACTGTACAAAAATTGTCACATGCATGTGTTATATAAAATTTGTGCTCTAGCAAAAATAACAAAAATCAGCCATTAAAGGTACTTGAACTACACCTCAAAATTTTCCCACAGCACATGTATGAAACATATTTTTCCTAGGAAGTACATGAC